CAAGTCTTCTGAGGAGCGGCTGAGGGAACTGGGGTTGTTTAGCCTGGAGAAAAGGAGGCTGAGGGGAGACCTCATCGCGCTCTACAACTACCTGAGAGGAGGTTGTAGGGAGGTGGGTGTTGGTCTCTTCTCCCAAGTAACTGGCGAAAGGACGAGAGGAAATGGCCTCAAGTTGCGCCAGGGGAGGTTTAGATTGGATGTGAGGAAAAATGTCTTTATTGAAAGAATGGTTAAACATTGGAACAGGCTGCCCAGGGAAGTGGTTGAGGCCCCCTCCCTGGCAGGATTTAAAAGACGTGTAGATGTGGCGCTTAGGGACATGGTTTAGTGGGCATGGTGGTGTTGGGTCGACGGTTGGACACAACAATCTTAGAGGTCTTTTCCAACCTTAATGATTCTATGATTCTATGATTATCTAGATAAAACACCGTCTAAGATGTTATGGATAATGGCAACTACATTATTTTTATGAGCTACTCCTTAGAGTTACTGGAACATTCTTTTGCAAAAACAGCTCTTTTGATTAAAAGGAAGTTATTATTCTAGATGGCCCAAAACATTTAAGGTTAGATAAGAGAAAAACTTGGAACCATCATTAATTCTGATGTCTGATTGCATTCCAATTTATTTCTTACTTTCTAACCTGGAATGATTTATAATTTTGGTCTCCTATCTAAAGGGAGAATACATAATTCTTTTTGAGACTGTTCTTTTAATTAGCCTGTGGTGAAAATTTCAAATTTAAAAGGCGTTTATTCATTTTCAGAGAATTTGCTCCTGCTGCCTGAAGAAAAACAGAGAAAGACAGGATGAGATGAGGGTGCCTGCAGCTATTGCAGCCCCCTGTTGGCTTGTTTGACAAGATCTTACCGGTACAGATGGGAAATAGTCTATTGCAGAGGTGGATATTAGTACAAGAACCAGAAGAGAAATACATCTCATACTGAGCCTGATCAAAGATCAAGAATATTAGTATGAAAAAATAATAACCTTTAAAAAAAAAAAAAATCATGCCAGTCTGGTTCTTATGAAACCTACAGAAAAAAAGAAAGACATCTCACACTGGGCCTGATCTAAGATAAAGAATGTAAATATGAAGCAAGAATTGTCTTTAAAAAGTTATGTGTACCAAGACAGTCTGGTCCTTACAAAACCAAAAAACCTACAAGAATTGATTTTTTTTTTTTTTTAAACCGAAATGAAAGCAAAACTTCAAGGTGTTAATGAAATAAGTCTGGAGAATCTTCAAGCTGCTGAAGTAACTGGCAAATGAAATTACAAGTAGAATAAAGTTTCATGACTCTTGCCACATGTTGTTGAGAGGCTGGTAGTGCAATGTTTGCTTAAGCAACACTGAGAAGCTGTACAAGATGAAAATCACTGCCTGCATATCAATGGCCTACTCCTGCTAAAACTCCTTGAGGGCAATGGACAATTACCTAAATAAAGAAGTTGAATAAATTTGTAATAAATGAAGTCATGCTGTCAATAGTTAAAAAAGTGAAAAGCATTTTGAAGATTCCTAGGAGTCGGATGACACTAACCGTTGGCTGTCATTTCTGCTAAACACTATTAGAAAACACGGGTAATGCTAAGCGTCAAAACACTTTCTAACCAGAGGAGCTATCTTTTTTAATGACTCAGTCTCTTAGCAATTAAAGTATATTTTCTGATATTTATCCTATTTTCTGGGTAATGTGGTTGAAATTTGTGGGTAATTTTAGACAAGCTTCTAATAGACAAATACTATTGTTTCCATAGCCAACTGTTATACACATTGGATTCTTTTAGTGATCCTCAGCACAGGTACCGGCATCTATACGTATATGAGGAATAAATTCCTTCTTACACCTAGCTCTCTAGAGAGATCTGTATCTACTGAAGTTTTCTCAATGGCCCATATTTTATGCTGGT